TATCTAAAAACAGTGACGGACTCTGGGCTTTCAAATTTCAGTGGCGCCCTGCGCAATGCCAAAATTCAGCACCCCCCACCTTTCACCTTCCATTGTTCGTCACCGTTGCAGCACCCTCTGCACTACCCTCTTGGCTCCACGCCCAACATGGGTGAACTGTTCACGCTCCCCTAAATCACAGAATCATAGAATTGTAGGGTTGGAAGGGACCCCAAGGGTTATCTAGTCCAACCCGCAGTAACGCAGGAATAAATTCGCCTCTGCTAAAAGGCTCATAGGATAACATGGTTTGGGTGGGGAACGGTTTTCATTGCCCTTCTCCTGCGCCCTTCATTTCAGCCCATTCCCACTCCATAACTCAGCCCACATATGCCCACCATCTCTTTGCTAACCTCTGGCCCTGCCTCGCTCCCCATGACAGTTCCTCCATCTTGGCACACATAGGGCAGGAATGAGTCTAGAGAGGAAGGTCCAACTCCATTCTTTGCCCACAACTGCCTTGATGATAGATGCAAGGTCAGTGAACAAAACTTTTAAAATGGTGCAACCAAAACATAATGCAGATTTCCAAAGTACATTTGTGTGGTTCAACAGTTCAATTCATTGTTTTGTTGTACTTTATAATGACTGATAACAATGGGGCAAGTAAGTAGTTCAGGCCCCTTTAGAACCCCAGATCCTGATCAAACCAACCTATTACTCCCTCTCCTGCCACAAGACACATTGCACAGAGGATTCCATAAAACTCCACAGCATAGAGGAGTTCTATCAGAACTATCAGAGTTTCTAAAAGGCGGTGTGATGCTAGAAAATATCCAATACAGTCATACCTCGGGTTACGAACGCTGTGGGTTGCGTGTTTTCAGGTTGCGGACCACGCCCAAACCCGGAAGTACCAGAACACGTTACTTCCGGGTTTCGGCGCTCGCGGCATCCCCAGAAACACAAAATGACGTCACGCGCACGAACAGAAGTGTCAAATCGCATCACGCGCATGAGCAGACGCAGCGCCTCAGGCTGCGAACGCTGCGGGTTGCGAATGTGCCTCCTGCACGGATCATGTTCGCAACCCGAGGTTGACTGTATGACATTCTTAGGGCAAAGTTACATGAAATATTTGTGTCTAAAAGTATAATCACAACACAGCAGCTAGTATTGTACTTAAAGAAAAAAACCTAAAGCTTTTAAAAGATTCCACTAAATACAAAAAAGACAGTACTCCAGAACAAAACTGAGTTTTAAAAGAGTATTTCCCTCTGAATTTGTTTCTTGGAACAAAATGGAGACCATGACCTGCTAACAATCACTGAAAGCAATATTCGCAACCTGCTGCACTGAAGGGGATGAGATTGGAAGCTTCCATTTGCAGTTTGTAACAACTACATTTTTAGTATATGGACTAAATGAGAAACTGCAGTTTGTTACAAACCAGCAGTGGAAGCTTCTACTCACCTCTGGTTGGGCAGGATGAGATGAAATGGAGAGAATGCACAAACCCAAGACACAATGGGCCGTTGTTATTTCTCAGCAGACAATGTTTAAAAGCTGTTTACATTAATGGTTAAGTGCCATTCTGCAAAGAAGTAGTTGATAATCATAGACCAAATTTATATCTCTGTCTAATTTAAATAGAAGTAAAAGATACACTTAAACTTGCAACATAAGCTTAGATGATAATCTTTTTTTCTGGACTAGCACCTAATAAAACCACCCTTGCAAAATTGTGGAAAGTAAAACCCCCAGTCTACCACTCTTATAAGTTTTCCTGTTACAAAGCTGCATAGTTTTTACATATGTAGTACTTTGTTATAAGAAGAATTCTTCCTCATAGCACCTTCTTTGTTGTAAGTCTGAAACATGCTTTGCCTCCAGGCTGAACTATAATAAAAGTAAAATGGATTCAGACATTTGGCTGAGAAAAGCTGGCTTTTCTATAGCCTTTCTTCCCCTTGTAACTTTTTTCTACTGTTTTAAAAATACAATTGTTTTTATTATTTCTCTTTTGTTTTGCTGGATCCATGGATTAACATAAAACAGATGTGTAATTCTGGGAGCGGTTATATATACTATTTAATAGCGTAACAGTCCTTGTGATCCTTACAATGCTACTTGTGTTAAGATTTTTCAGAGGAACCATAAAAATGCTACATCCCATTCAATATTCACTTCTGAAATAACAAAAACCCCAGCTTGTCCCCTTGTTACAATGTGCCAAGGCAATGGGCAGATTAAGGGAGAACAGAGCCCTGACACATCCAGCTGTACCTCGTATACCATGCTTTGCCTGCTATTTTATATGCATCATCTGATGCGGACCTTTAGCATGGAGTTGCCAAAGATACTTGATTGATTCTCACAATTGGCTGATCCACCGTAACATTTTACTATTATCTTGCTGTGGATCATAGTTTCATTTTTAAAATCAACATGTGATAGAGCTACTGCCCAACACAAATTTAGCAAGTTTCAAGTCCACTCAATGATGACAAATCACCAGTATGAATCACTCATAAATCTGGGATCACTAAAGATCTCCATTGTGGTGTTGCCTGACAAATTATTTTCATCACATTAAATCCTATAGCTGGTGCAACGAAACCCGTATCGAGTGTAACATATATTATAAAAGCAAATTAATCACTAATTATGACTAAAGGAATACCTAGCCATAAGAAATGAAGTCTGCATAGCTAGAGTACAGATCCTGTATGAATATGCTGGCAGAACACAAGGAATTGGTTTAACTAATCTTTGTATGGTACTTACAACCTAGTTATTTACACCAGATGTTATACTGAGAATGTACAACAGCACAGTGCTGGTTTTTCTATTCTCCAAAATTCTTGATTTTGGCATTAAGCCTCGGTTGCAAGTTAAGAAAGCGAATGGTTACAGCAATGCCGTAACAAAAAGAGAGGCAACTTTTATGACATGTTTGGGGGAAGGGGTTATTGGCTTTCCTTTTTGTTTTGTTTTATTGTGTATTATTTATTATGCTACCTGAGCCTCCAGTGACAGAGCTGGATCCATAAGCACCCCAAATTCTGAAGCTGCTCCTCCAGATGGAGTGCAACTCCATCCAAGTTCGGCAACTGTCCAATTTCTTAGACACGGGAACCACTCCCCGACAATGCCTCTGTCTTGCCAGGATTCAATCTCAGCTTGTTTCTCCTCATCAGTTTCACTACTGCATCCAGGAAATGGTCCAGGGACGACATGGCCTCTCCTGACAGACCGCACAGGGGACCTCAGTAGCTCCGAGTACTTAGTATCGACTTTAGTTTGTGCAACAGCTACAACCATTCTTGAACAAGGATAGCTTTGCCACAGCGGTCCATACATTGCTAACCTCATGATTAGACCACCATAATGAACTGCATGTGTGGAACCCTTTTACCAGGTATGGAAGCTACAACTAAGGCAAAATTAAGCAGCAAGGCTGCCCAGCATTACTCATGTTGTGGCAAGTGTTGAAAGATCTGCAAGGGGTTCTAACTACCAAGCCGAGTTCACTGTATCGTCGTTGAAATATACAGCCGTGGACAACCTGAGACCAAGATACCTGGCAGATTGCCTCCCCCAGTACAGACCAAGGCAATGTTTAAGACCTGAGGAGACCCACTGGTTTGCCAACCAGTGGATTGTCGCTTGATGAAAACATTCTTGGTGACAGCATTCACACTCTGGAATGCTGTCCCTTGGGTAATTCACGAGACAGAGGCAGAAATTACCTTTAAATAGTCATTACAAATACATGTTTACTATGATTGTTAATTTATATATATAGTACGCTGCTCAGTTTTGTTTGTGATATGAAGTTATGTTTTCTTTTTATCCGGTTTAAGACATTTTATTGAATGCTGCTATATTTTTATGTAAACTGCTTAGAGATTTTTATTATATTAAGCAGTATAAAAAATTGTATAAACGCATAAAGTGATCATATTGATAGGCCATCCCCTCATTCCAGGTGGAGACCAGGACTTCAGCAGGACCAATGGGGCAGGGCTGTTGACCAAGTCAGCAGGGAATTATCAAAAGATGATCATCAGAAAATCATCTTAATCCATCTGCCTCCTGAGACGGACCATGTTAATGGATCTTCCACTCCTGTGCAGCTTATGCAGTCATAGAGTCAAAACTGATTAGGCCAACAGACATTTCTAGCTCACCAACAGATCATCCATTCCAAACTCTGTACAGAAAACCATATTCAATGTGCGTCCTGCCACATGTGTTGGTCCTGACACTAATTGAGACAGCCCCATGGTTAATAACATGCCAACTATGAACTCCTGAACCAGTCCTGATTATTCTGGCACTGTTCACAAGGAGATGCGAACTTTCCTGTACATTCATTGCCTGTGACTGAAATAAGGGGCTATAATATATTTTTAAACATTTTTTATTTCATTTCAATTCTGGCTGAAACACATCAGAGACCTCTAGTGGTTAAATTTGTTAATGCACATCAGGTAAAACTAATTCATATTCTACCTTATGTAGTCAGAAGCAGGCTTCTTGCTGTACAACTAATATTAACATGAAAGGATCATATTATGGCCAAAAAACAAGTACAGGAGACTCTCCACTTTAGAAGCTCACCTTACAACTTGTGGAGGACAGACAGAATGATGGCAGGGGGACAGAGCTAGTGGACTCATCCTCACACGTTAACAATGTATCAGAAGAACTGATTCACTCTCACATATTCTAGCAAATGTGGCTGCTCTTATAGATTAAAAAAAAAATTCTACCACTAAGGAAATATGACCACAAGATAGGCAAACAGCACCATCCTTTGTATGTAGTAAGGAGGCACTAGTCTCATAATTCACAGTGCAATCCTAAATAAGCCTATTCAGAAAGAAGTTCTGCTGAATTCAATGGGACTTACTCCCAGATACGTGGGGTTAGGATTGCAGCGTTAATCACTTTGTCATAAGATGTCCTTGATTCTGCCTCCTAAAACAGTCAAAATCAGGAAGAATCTACATTTTGTCAAAATTACATATGAGTTCTATAGATTACATAAAGTAGACCAATAATAATATAGAATTTACCTTTTATGCCTCCAAATGGCCCGTAAGTCATGTTGCAAGCTGTTCTCTGAAGATTGTGTTCGTACATACGCTTTAGCTGATATTGGTTCCCATGGTCAATGTTTCCCAGGCTTCCTATTAAATATAGAGAAGGTATCATATATGTAGGATTTTCCAATTCCTGTGTTAAGTAGATATTGTGCTGTGGTTATATTGCAATTGTAGACTATTGTTTTAATAATGATAATTATGTTAGGATCAAGATTCCATTGAGTTATACCTTACACCGTAAAAAATGTCATATTTGGAGCATGCCAGAATGCTATACTTATTATTTGATTTATTATCAAATGTATATCCTGCACTTGCTCCCAAAGGAGCCCAGGGCGGCAAACACAAACAATATAACAATTAAAATATATAAAAACAAATTCAATACAGATGCAGACTGGGAAAGGTCTTTACTTAAAAGGCTTCTTGGACAAGGAAGCTCTTCAGGAGAAGCCAAAAAGACAGCAGGGACAGCACCTCTCTAATATTTAACAGGATGGCATTTCAAAGAGTATATCCATATCAAATGACCTAAGCAAAGTGAGATACATTTTCCTCACACAATATGTAAATTGCAATGCCAACATTTTAATGTTAAGAAATCTCTTTCTGTTCTTCTACTCTCATTGCCACACGTCCTTTACACTCTGTCAAGACAGGAGAGCACATCTGTTTACCAGCCATTGGCATACCCATGGTGAAAATATAACCTCAACATATATTATTACTTTACTATATTCATTATTTTGGAACTCATCTGTCTGACATGAATTTATATTTTATTATAATTTTTATATATTGCGGCCTTCCACAAGACTAAGATTTCTTGTTGGTGCTGCAGTTCTCGTGGTTAAGATATATATTTGCTACTTATGGCACTGGCCTCTGCCAAATAAGGAAAGCAAACCTGGAAGCCTACAGAACCGCTAAAATACTGCCATTTACTAGCAGGTTAGTTGTTGATTTAAAACGACTTGCATGCTATTCATTGTCATAGTTACTGTTCTGTTAAAAAAAAAGGACTAAGCAAATACATCCTCAAGCTTTATTCCTCATTGCCAGGACTCCCCTATTATGTTCTCCAGTTATATTCTCTTTCAGGTCTTTAAACCAAACTCCTTGGTGAGCTTGGGCCATCCTATTTATGGCCCTTTTCTAGGTATTATACCTTTCATCGCTTCAGACATGCCTCTGGAAAACTATGGTGTGCATAGGATGCTGATCACTGGGCTGCTGTCAGAGCAAACTGTATGTATTTTAATTGCTGGTTCTAAATGTGTTTTGATGTATTTTAACTATTGCTTTTACCTAGTATGTTTCTATTACTTTGTATTTATTTGACAAAAATTACTTTTCAGTAGCATAGATACAAAGAGACAAAATGGGCGAGGACCAATCCCATACTATACACCTTTTTATAATTTCAAAATTAACTTGGTATTAGCAGATCAGAATATGCAATTTTTTACTTGTACAGAGAATAGAGAAAGAGAAAAAGTTGTCACCATAATCTGAAGAGCCCCCCTTTTTTACCTGAGACAGCATATACACACAATTTTTTAGGGTGTAATACAGCCAGATGTAACAGTTCTATACCACTGCAAAGAAGGAAAAGAATAGAAAATATGAGTCAACTGTTAAGAAAAGTACATTACTCTGAGGCTAATAAACAGACATGAAAGAGTTTTCACACTCAATATTTTTGACATGTTTGTATTTGCATGTTTATGCCTGTCAAATTATTAGAAACTTTTAAAATATATATTGTCTTTACAAATATTAGGAATAAAATGCTCACTTATCCTTTTATGATATGCATGCAAGACAGTTGCCTTTCTACAAGAAGATAGAGGTCACAAGGAACAGCTCTACAGTATTCAAACAAGTACCCAGTTGTAGGCAGCAATGGCAAACATGCAATATTCTTTGAAAAGACTGAAAAAAGAGAGAGCTTGCTTGCAAACTGGTCTATATTAATTACATTATGCTTCCTTCGGGACTTATTTATTATTGTCATCAATTATTTTAATATTTTAACTGCCCTCCAGATGAGGGCATCTGGGAATTTTAAGTGTCATGGTTTTTCAGACAGCTGCCCTTCATCTAGATCCTGGTGTTCCAGTTGAAGTAGCTTCTGTATCTTTAAACTACCACCATTGGGTTACCTGAGAACCATCTTGCACCATAGAGGAGGATCTAGTTTTAAAAAAAAATGTTTTGTTTTTTGGTAGCCTATCTTTGGTAGCCTATTTGTAACAAAGCTATTTAAACTGCTTTATGAAGTTTGCCTCAAAAGTTGCATATACATACCATAATTAATTAAAAAGCTAAGTATTATACATGGTTCAGATAAAATGACCTTGAGGATTGGGAAAATGCCACAGAAGGACAACTCCAAAAAAATCCATATTTTGATTCTATATATATATAATTGTTCCAATATAACCCCAAGGCACTTCATAAAATAAACCAGGTCAATCCTTAGAGAGTAAATTGACTCCAATGATAAACTCAGAGTTTCCCAATTAATAAGATCATTAGCGGCAACACTGACTGTTTACTTACGAAACAAATTTTCCTACTTCCACTTGAAGTATTGGCTCAGATAACTGCACTTCCAAGAGCAAATCTTCAGCTTGCACAGCATCTCCAGGTTTTATAGGATGGGGATTGTAGATTCTAAGGAACCCTGTATAACTTCCCACAATTATTTTATCTGAAAAACAAACATATTCAATTACTAAGTGAAGCTTACACAACTGAAAATGTGGTGACTCATTTTTCCTACAGAGGATGGAACTTTAAGGTTGCAATGCAATGTATGCTTCCTTGAGAATAAGCTCTACTGAAGTCTGTGGAACTTCCATGTTAAACACGGACAGCATCAAGTTGCATTTAGAGTTCCAGAATTAAATCTCAATTCAAAGCACATCTCCTCAAAATTAAATCTTTTTAAGCTTAACAAAAAGTGTTTCCCACTAAATATGCTTGGGATTGCAGCCTCTGTGTAGAGTTTCACAATAATTTTAGTCCGTTTACCTTGTCCACTGCTGCTATTGTCAACATTTGCAACACATAAGCATCCTTGATCAAATTCTTCTTTGTTGCCCACCACTGTAGACCACCAGTCACGGGCTTTAAATAAAGACATTCTCCTTCAGCCCTAGTGAGAGGGGAGAAAACAAGGTGATGTAAAATTCAACTAATTTCACATTCCAGAGGGGCTTCAAAAGCAATTTGAGATACACTATAGATCCAGGCAGGGGGCAGGAATTAGAAGCCTGTGTGCATTCACGGGGTGAAGGAATTATAAATCATGGCCACATACAGCAAATATACACACCAAAATCTAACAATATACGCCACTAAATGCTAACAACTAGTCGCTTTATTCTTATTTATTAAATGAGAAGTTTAATGACAGTATGATCAAAGCAAACAATGGGCACTGTGCTGCCCATGGCACAGTGACCACTGCAGTTGGGTAGAATAAGCTATAATAATGTATATTTATCTCTCAAACAGACTAGTAGAACAATCTATCTTGTGCAATTGAAATTTCCTTCAAAATCACCTGGGACAAACAAACAGAAAAAGCCCAGCAGGAGCTGCTAATATTTCTATGTCATTCTTTAATCACAGTATCCATAGGGTCATGTATGAAGCTCAATTTATGCAACAGAACTTTCCTGCCCCTCTTTCCCACTGTGGCCTTGCAAGGCTGTTCCTGAAGGTTGATGGCCACTCTGGAACAGGACTCAACATGATATAAAGGGCTGCATTTGGAAAGGCAGATCAGCAACATATTATCCAAAGGTGTGCGTTCTGCTTAAGCGCACAGCTATTTTGGAGCTTAGCATATGTACACTTGTAGGTGCTATATAATAAATAATCGCAATTCACTTTATTTCCAGTGTTCAGTCTGTGAATGCCATTACTTATGTAGCCAAAATAGTACATAAATGAAGTCACACATCCATGAGAGGGAGGAATCTGTAAGACTGGGAGAACCCCAATGTTTGCAGAAATACAAAATATTTTTACGATAAAAGATGGGGTGGGGACAAACCCACAGACAATCCAATGAGGACTGAGCCATGGGATGCTGACTGACTGACAGTGAGTAGGAGTGGAGAGGAGCATCATGGCAATGATGAAATAGGAATGAAGCGATATACAGGCAGGCATATATTCCGCTACTTTAATCTCCTTAATTACCCTTATGACACAAGCTAAGGAACTGAATCCAGTCAGACACAAATAGGTTGCACTAATACCTACCTGCAGCTAACTGGAACGCAGTAAGGGAAAAGAGGCTAGAGATTCAGTAATCCTTGCCTTAGCTTAGCAACACTAGGTTACACATATTAATGCACGTATTTACAGCAATGCATGCTAAAAACACAATTTGCCAGCTTCTTCAATACTCTTATGTTTTGCATAAACATCTAAAGCACAATATACGTCCCTAGGCAAACATATCACTTGTCTCAAAAGAATGCAAAAACCTTTTAGGAAATTGCTCAGTTTTCAGTTAATGGCCTGAACATTCTGAATGAAACAGCAGTGTCCACCACATAGAGGTATTCCCTAGACCCTGGTGTTGTAGAAATAGTACACAAAGGTATATCTTCTTTCCCGTGCATGAGTTTTGTTGCCATTATGCTTATTTATCCCTGCAGCCCAACCCAAAGCATTTTTACTGAGAATTTGCACCGAGTTCCATGGGACAGATTTGCAGGAAAGTGTACACAGAACCGCAACCTTAAGGCGGCAGTCCTATGCGCTGTTACTTGCGAGCTCACCTGCACACACTGAACAGGTTGCAAGGTTGCAGCCTTTATGCACACTTCCTACCTTGGGAAGTGAGACTGGCAGCATCTCTGAGAAAAAGTGCAAAGGGCAAGGCTGTGCAATGTCTCCAGCAGCAGATCTTCTACTTTGCACAGTACAAGACACGAGATCGTGCTCATTTTATTTACTGATTGTTATTATTCATTGAATTTGTATAATGTACTGCCCTTCATCTGAAGATCTCAGGGCTGGGAATTTGTATAATGTACTGCCCTTCATCTGAAGATCTCAGGGCTGGCATAGACACACAAGATAAAAACACAAAATACGTAACAGTAATGAAAACACGACACTCCTCCAAACACATTTGAAAGGATGTAGGGCGTTAACTTACCTGACTATTCCCAACATTGGGAAACCCTTTTCTTCTCCTCACCTGCGCCCTCCTCCCGCAGATCCACAACAGGGAGCCCGGGTGCGCATTAAGGCGAGCGCCTCATCCCGAGACTCCCTCACGGGCCGCAAGAGCGCCGTTTGCCTGTCAGGGGGGCCGAGACAGGGCGCCAACGTCCTTGTCACAAGCACCCTCTCGCCGCGCTACCTTTGGGGCAGGAGGATGCTAACGGGACCCATGAGGGAGATAAGCAAAGACGCAAATAGAGAGATGGATAGGGGAGCGGGAGGGGGGGACGACCCCAAGCAGAAGCTGTTATTACAAGGAAGGAATGGGGCGGTGTCTGCTGCTATACGGGGCGCGCGGGGGAAGAACGCCTCAGGTACTCCCTAGCCAGCCCTGCCCGCCGCCATTTTTGCTCCCGTTGTCATAGCGCCTCAGCAACCAACGCCGACCCCGCCCCCTCCTGCCGTCCGAGAAAGGCGCTGAGAGAGCAAACACGGCACGGCAGCTGCCTTCTAGGAGACGCAAAGCATGCTGGGGGATGTAGTCTCTGCGAGCCTTCGGTTGGACTGTACTATTAGGAGGAGAGGAAACGCCCAGCGTCCGTCCCCGTCCCCTGTCCCGCCTAGCGGCGTAAAAGGACCAACGTCCCTCCGCAACCTCCTCTCCTAATTGCCGGCGTTTTGTCTCGAGGAGGAGAGAGAGAAAAGAGGGCCACCACCCCCGTCCCGTAAGTCGGAATGGTTTCTCCCGCCTCAACTGTCAAGAGAGAGAGCGCGTGGGGCCAACGGCCGCTCATCTCGGCGGTTGGCGGTAGCGCATGCGCGCTCGCCCGCTCTCGCCGCCGACGGAGAGGGAGAGAGAGGAAGGCGACCGGCTGAGAGGAAGACCGGCGTGAGGCAGTGCGGGGCTCTTGCCCGCCTCCGCGACCTGAACGTAAGGCTTCTTCTCCCTCTGGGTTCCCCCCTCACCCCGCGAGGCCGGAGCGTGGCGAGAGGTTTCCGCCGCCATGGACAAGAGCGCCGTGGCCAGGATGGGAGCGGTGGCCAGCGCCAGCGTGTGCGCCCTGGTCGGCGGGGTGGTCCTGGCCCAGTACATCTTCACCATAAAGAAGAAGACGGGCAGGAAGACCAAGATTATAGAGATGGTAGGAGCGCGCTGCGGAGGCGCTGTTTACTCGGGAGTAAAGCCCCGCTGTCGTTGCAGCGCTTCCAGCGGTTGCTTTTCGGTTTCCCCCCTCCCCTTCTCGCGGTCAAGCGGTGTATAAGTTTTCTGAAATAAACAATTGGTCTCCCGTCAAACTCAATTCAGGGACACTTGCTTCTGGACTGACCATGCTTAGGCGTCAGTTTATTTGGTTAGCTGCTGGCCACATGGAAATTAGTGGAGCTTCTTGGGCCTTATTATTATTAACATTATTTATTAAATGTGCATACCGCCCTTCACCCGAAGATTCCAGGGTGGTTCACAACAGAGAAATACAAAATGAGAATGCAAAATATGTAGTAAAACCAAAACAAACCAATATCCCCCCCCCCCGTTTAAAAAGCCATAGAATGATAATGGTTCAAAAGTATCGGGATATAACCTTTGCAAGCATTTATTTGGAAGTAAGTTCCATGATCAGTGTTAGAGTTGCTTGTGAGCGAGTGTGCATAGGATCTGGCCGTAATCTTGTACTCACTTTCTTAGGGAATGAAGTTTATTGAAGCTGGCAAGGCTCGCTTCTAAGCGAAGTTGGTGCAGCCCAGCACTGTGCATGAATAATTCAAATGTACTCCTTAGTGAATACAAAAAAATTCCTTCCAGTAGCACCTTAAAGACCAACTAAGTTAGTTGAACCAAGAACTAACTTAGTTGGTCTTTAAGGTGCTACTGGAAGGAATTTTTTTGTTTTGACTATGGCAGACCAACACGGCTACCTATCTGTAACTGATCCTTAGTGAATGTTCATGAATTGCAGTCTCCGCCTAATGTGGATTGCCCTGGGTGTCTGTATGCACATAAGACTTTCTAAGTATCCATATGGAATTTGAGGGCAAAACATGTGCTTCCTTCACCCTGATTTAATTCATCCACAGTTAATTAATTCTGTCCTTCAGGTTCATGGCTGTGGAAAGCTCCACCTGTAAATTTGTATTGAAAGGATTGGCAGGTGGGGGACCCATGATTTTTTTTCAATACTCTAAAATAATCCAAAAGACATACATTTGCACACTTGATGGGAGCTGCTATTTCTTTGAAGATTTGTGATAAGGAAAGAAAGAAAGACAGTTGTTGCAGTTTAAAACCTACACTGGTTATGACGTCTTAATACAGTGGCGCCTTGGGTTACAAACACCTCGGGTTATAGACTCCACTAACTCGAAAGTAGTACCTCGGGTTAAGAACTTTGCCCCAGAATGAGATCAAAAATTGTGCGGCTGTGGCACGGCGGCAGCAGGAAGCCCCCTTAGCTAAGGTGGTACCTCAAGTTAAGAACGGTTTCAGGTTAGGAACAGACCACCGGAATGAATTAATTTCGTAATCAGAGATACCACTGTATATCATTTAATCATTTAATTAATTTAAGAGCATGTTGAAGGAGGACAGAAGGGAGAAGTAAATTAGCCCAGTAACCCCAGGGAGAGCTCAGTGATGAGAAGTAACTGTGTGTCAAACCTTTGTAGCCATAATGGCACCATTCTTGCAGAAGGAGGTATCAGCAGGCTCAGGGCAACCGGAGAGAAAAAATGGGGGAGGGGGGGAGACAGCCGTATGAGAGCAGCAGAGCCAGCATGTAGGTCCAAACTGCTAGCCAATGGGGGGGGGGGGCTCATGAGGAATAGAGTAGGTTTTCCTGGAAGAAAGCATGGCAGGTTGCACTCCACACTCCACACTGCCAAATTTTACTGCATGTCCTTTTTGTATTCTCCAAATTCTATATGTATGGGGTCCTCCTTGTTCTGTAATCTCCCCCCAGATGTGAGCAGCCAATTTATGAGTGCCATCAAAGCTCCCAAACTTTCAGAGGGCCAGTGTGGTGTAGTGGTTAAGAGCGGTAGTCTTGTAATCTGGGGAACCGGGTTCGCGTCTCCGCTCTTCCACATGCAGCTGCTGGGTGACCTTGGGCCAGTCACACTTCTTTGAAGTCTCTCAGCTCCACTCACCTCACAGAGTGTTTGTTGTGGGGGAGGAAGGGAAAGGAGATGGTTAGCCGCCTCGAGACTCCTGAAGGGGAGTGAAAAGCGGGATATCAAATCCAAACTCTTCTTCTCTTCTTCTTCTTCTTTTGGTGAGTCCATGACTCTTAATAATAGAAGGACTGAGATTCTTCTCATTGTTGAGCTCCCTTTCTTCCTCCCTCAGTACCCATTTCTTTCTTGGCTCGCCTCTGCGTTACATCCCAGAAAGTGTTCCCTGTCAGTTGCTGCTGTATGTCCTACACTGAGGCAATGCTTCATTTTCTAAATGGCTTTTCTTTCCAAATCTATGCTATTCCCTTTGCTTCTCCCCCCTCCGTTACTGCTCTCCTGCAGAAAGGAAAAGCACCCACCCACCACTGAGAGACTCCAAGGAGATGAGGTTTAAGCTGTATCAAGCCTCTAACAAGACCTAATGCAGCCCGTCTCGAACAATATCACAAAATCCACAATTGTAGCCAAAATATAATTTGTGCATTCTATTCCTTGATGTTGTTAGATAAGTATGCTGTTACCAGTTTGATTCTACAGAAGAAAATATAATTGCAGAGGTTGAAACATCCACAGCATAGATTATAGCTTTTATTGGGTCTCCCTATTTATTTTTTCTATTTGCTCTGTGCCTCCTTGGTTTCATTTTTATGCAGGCATCATAATACAGTGGTACCTCAGGTTACAAACACTTCAGGTTACAAATGCTTCAGGTTACAAACTCCACTAACCCGGAAGTAGTTGCTCCAGGTTGCGAACTTTGCCCCAGGATGAGAAAGGAAATTGCACGCAGCAGCATGGCAGCAGCAGGAGGCCCCATTAGCGAAAGCGCACCTCAGGTTAAGAACGGTTTCGGGTTAAGAATGGACTTCCGGAACAAATTAAGTTCATAACCCGAGGTACCACTGTACTCTGTTTGGTAGTAAATTTAGGAATACCCTCAGCCTTTTTCTGTGCTTGAATTGTGTATGTACTACTTAGTTTCTAAAGAGGCAAATTTCTACAGTGGTCAGAAATGGAATAATCAATAATGTATATATTACATTAGCTTATCTGTGTGTGCTTCTGAAGCTTGTTTGTTTTCCCATATTAGTAGACTAGTTCCTATAGAAACAGTGATGTCATGATGGAACACAAAGAATATGCTGGCATAGGCTTGGAACAAAGTCATAATGTTAGAAAAAGAACATACGACTTTCCTTAAAGGAATCACAATTGTGCACTGTTTCCTTAAACTTCACAATTCTTCGGGAAGTCAGTAAGTAGTAACACTGCTATTTCCAGATTGATGAAATGAGGAATAACAGTAGGATGACTTACAATTTAGTAGTATTCAAGATTATTTTAGTGGGCCTTACTTCTAACTGGGCCTTACTTCTAACTGCGAGGGACGCAGGTGGCGCTGTGGGTTAAAGCCTCAGCACCTAGGACTTGCCGATCAAAAGGTCGGAGGTTCGAATCCCTGCGGCGGGGTGCGCTCCTGTCGTTCGGTCCCAGCGCCTGCCAACCTAGCAGTTCGAAAGCACCTTCGGGTGCAAGTAGATAAATAGGGACCGCTTACTAGCGGGAAGGTAAACGGTGTTCCGTGTGCTGTGCTGGCTTGCCAGAGCAGCGATGTCACGCTGGCCACGTGACCCGGAAGTGTCTGCAGACAGCACTGGCTCCCGGCCTATAGAGTGAGATGAGCGCACAACCCTAGAGTCTGGCAAGACTGGCCCGTACGGGCAGGGGTACCTTTACCTTTACCTTTTACTTCTAACTGTGACTCAGTTCAGACACCATGCCAAAGATTAGCTAGTGTTAAACATGATTTTGAACCCACACTATAGTTTAAGATTTCAGTAAAGGTAAGGGACCTCTGGACGGTTAAGTTGTCAAAGACGACTATGGGATTGTGGTGCTCATCTCACTTTCAGGCAAAGGGAACCGGCGTTTGTCCACAGACAACTTTCTGGGTCATGTGGCTAGCATGACTAAACCGCTTCTGGAGCAACAGAACACCATGACGGAAACCAGAGTGTTTCAAACATACATTCAAATTGTGATTTGTAGCTGTTTTCGTTTTCTGTCTGTTGGCACACCCAGTCTAGGTGTCCTGACCCCTGATGGTGTAGCAACGTCTGTAACTTTGTTTTGTCAATTCTGATGCCTCACTAGGCCATATATAAGTTTCTTAACCTTTCTCCATGTTTGAACAGCATGCTAAAACATAGTTTAGTGTAATGTGAAAGAGCTAGGGTGAGTCTTGGTTCATGTGTCCCTCTTGGACAATCAGAAGGAGAACTTTTTACTTAACCATGATTTGTCATATGTAATCTGGACCAACAAACCTTCATTTATGCAAACGTTTGTTTGTTTAAAACAAGCCAACTTTAACCATAGTTCAACATAATCCATGGTTTACAGTTTGGCTGAAACTCTAAATTGTGACTAATGAGAAAGAGAAGTAAAGCTTTTGAATTCCTCATGACAGCCCTGAAATGAGAAGGGGAAGCATAAATAATAAAAGAAGTGTGGTTTGAGGTGGTGGAAGTCATTTAAGATATTTTAATTAAGATTTTTGTTTTATAATGTATCTTAAATGTAATTCTGGAATTACTGTTTATGGAAAACAGCATTTTCCTTTTTTTCCCCTTTCCTTTTTCGTTTTTTCTTATCTTTTATCCTTTTTCACAGTATATGTTTGGCAACTATGTAAATAATTGTGTTTTTGCAGATATATCTGGAAATTTGATTGTATTATTCAATAAAGTTGTATTTTTAAAAAAAATTCAAAAGAGAGAGAGAAGGGGAAGCATATAAGCCCACACCTCAACTAGGTTCATTGACAACATGCTTAAACCAGGGGTAGGAGACATTTTTCAGCCTGAGAACCACACTTTGTCATGGACAACCTTACAGGGTAGTTTGCCAGTGTGGGTGGGGGCCATAGGCAAAATGTGAGTAAGGTAATGATGATGTGACGCTTTGTATG